AGGCAGTCTGGAAGGGCAAATAAAGCAAAATAATCTGTAGAAAATTCGTGAACTTCTCTGAGCCTCAGAATCCCCATGGACAAATGAGCTTAACAATATTTCCCAAATACTGATGTGAAAAGCTGGTAAGTGGCAGGGTTTCAGTGCCGCCAGCTTTTACATTATAGTATTAATCCTCAGGCCAACACTACTTAGTAGGTGTTATTCACCCAATTATAGAAATAGAAACTAACACTCAGAGATGTTAAGTAATTGGCCAGGGTCACAAGCTAGTGAGTGGGAAGGTGGGTAAAACAAGGATGTCAGATGCCGGAGCCTGGTGCCCTTTCCACCACCAACCATACCGCAGCAGACAGCGTCGGGGTCAGATGGGATAGGCACCGCCACAGCCCATGATGGAAGGTGGAGGAAGAAGTGCTCCCCCAGAGGCAACATGCATCAGGGCAAAGGGGTGGCACGCACAGAGTCCACATGTGCAGTGCCTGGCTGTGAGCAAGCCGTGTGGCTGCAGCAAAGCTGCTCTGAGAGGTCGGGACCCTGCTGTAGAGGGTCATTCAAGGCCAGGCTGAGAAACCAAGGATGGAATGTGCACCAGGGGAGGCCTGGGCAAGCTACCTGGCGGGAAAACGACCACGGAAAGGATCAAGCACCAGAAGACTCAGTTGGAACCCCATGGGTGGGGCCGACAGTGACAAGACGTGCACTGGGGCAGGAGCAGACGTGAGTGTGAGAAGCAAGAATCAGCACGGCTGGGGAGCCACCCACCCACAAACTCACCAGTACTCTGTAATCAGGTTGTCACTTTTTCTTTTTTGTATTTTTTTTGGGGAAGGAGTCTCTCCCTGTCACCCAGGCTGGAGTACAGTGGCGCAGTCTTGGCTCACTGCAACCTCTGCCTCCCAGGTTCGAGCAATTCTCCTGCCTCAGCCTCCCTAGTAGCTGGGACTACAGGTGCGCCCTACTGTGCCCGCCTAATTTTTTTTCTTTTCTTTTCTTTTCTTTTTTTGTATCTTTAGTTGAGGCAGGGTTTCACTATGTCGGCCAGGCTGGTCTCGAACTCCTCCCAAAGTGCTGGGATTACAGGCGTGAGCCACCGCGCCCAGCCAGTTGTCACTTTTTCTTTCTTCTTTCTTTTGGCCAGTTGTCACTTTTTCTTTTTCTCTTTATTTTTTTTCTTCTTTCCTCTTTCTCGCGTTCCTTTTCTTCCTTCTTTCTCTTTTTCTTTCTTTCTTTCTCTCCTTCCTTTCTTCCTTCCTTCTTTCCTTCCTTCCTTCCTCTCTCTCTCTCTTTTTGACACAGAATCTTGCTTTGTCACCCAGGCTGAAAAGTGCAGTGTCACAATCACAACTCGCTGCAGTCTCGACCTCCTTGGCTCAGGTGATCCTCCTGCCTCAGCCTCCCAAGTAACTGAGACCACAGGTGCGTGCCACTATGTCCACCTATTTATTAGTAGTAGTAGTCATAGTTGAGATGAGGTCTCTCTGTATGTTGCCCGGCGTGGTCTTGAACTCCTAGGCTTAAGTGATCCTCCCACCTCAGTCTCCCAAACTGCTGGGACTACTACATGCTTGGGCCATCATACCCAGTTTTTTTTTTTTTTTTTTTTTAATAGAGATGGAATCTCTCTATGTTGCCCAGGCTTGTTTTAAACTCCTGAGCTCAAGCGATCCTCCCATCTCGGCCTTCCAAAGTGCTGGGATCACAGGCATGCACCACCTCATCTGGCCAGGTTTTCACTTTCAACATCCCAGATCCAACAAGGTCTAACCTGCCGTGGCCCTGCCTCTGCTCCACGAGGGCCCTCTGCCACGGACACACGGTCCTTTGTTTGTTTGTTCCCACATTAGGGCTTTGTGCTCACCATCTCCTCTGCCCAGGGATGCTCGACTCCTGATCACCACATCACATGGCTGGCTCCTCTTCCTCCTCAAGCAGGTCTCAGCTCAAATGTCACCTCCTCAGGAAGGCCTCCCCGATCCCTCCAGCTAGTAATGTCACCTGCACACCCAGTCACTTGCTAGCACATGAAGCTGGTTCATTTTCTTTTTTTTTCTTTGAGACAAGGTCTCGCTGTCGCCCAGGCTGGTGTGCAGTGGTGCAATCACCACTCACTGCAGCCTTGACCTCCCAGGCTCACAGCTGGAACCACAGACGCATTCCACCACACCCAGCTAATTTCTTATTTTTTGTAGAGACAGGGTCTCACTATATGGCCAGGCTGGTCTCAAACTCCTGGGCTCAAGCAATCGTCTTGCCTCAGCCTCCCAATGTGCTGGGATCACAGGCGTGAACCACTACACCCAGCCGAGGCTGTTTCATTTACTGCATAACACTTCTGAGAATCTGCAATGATCCAATTTATTGGGTTATTTGTTCAGTCTGTAACCTCCCACTGGAATGTAAGCTCCGTGAGAGCAGGGACCATGTCTGTCTTGTTCACTCCAGTATTACCAGCATCTTAAACAACACCCGGTGTGTAACAGACGCTCAACACGTACCTGTTGAATGAATGATGCAGGGGAAAGGGAAGTGAAAGGAAACGGAAGGAAGATGGGACCAAAGTCAGATGTTGGGAAGAGCGGGGAAGTTGGCTGGGCATGGGAGGGCCTTCGCGGGTGGCCTCTGATTGCTGTTTCAGGTGTTGTGAGCTACCCACGGGGGACGGGTCCTAAGCAGGAGACAGAAGCAGGAGCCCAGAGGCTGGAAGTAGAAATGCAATGGAGAGAACAGATACACACTTGTCAGGGGGAGAATGTTAAAGATGGGGCAGAGGGGCATGAGTGAGCCTGGGGGTCCTCACACTTTGCGGGAAGGGGAAGGTTCATAGGGACCGGAAGCAGGCGTAAGGCAGGGCAGCGGCAGATCGCACTCACGCTCACATACATGATGGACTGAGCATCAACAAGGCCCTCCCTCCCTCCAAAACTAACAGGAGACTAGGACCCAGGTGGTGCCTGGGACTTACCCACAGGACAGCATCTCTCTGTAGGGATGGGGAAGTCACAGCGGAGGGCCACAGGGGGCGGGGCTGAGCCAGGGGCACAGCTGTGCTCAGCGGCCCAAGCCAGGAGAGGAAGAACCACTCAGAAATCAGCCACTTCCTCCTCGATCCAGCCTGCCAGGCCAATGGCACCGCAGGGACAAACCCTGGACTAATAGTCTCCAGGAAAAGGACAGGTGGGGCGGGGCTGGCCTGAGACCGCCCACAGTGGCCAGCTTCCCTGCAGCCCCGGTGCGGGAGTACAGCAGGCCTGCCCGCTGGGCCAGGGCCCCCTTCCCTCGGGAGAGGAGGAGCCACCTGGAGCTCCACCTGGAGCTCAAGCTGACAGAGCAGCGGGACGCTGGGTAGGAGCAAAGACCAGGAAGTAACCCTGGCTGAGGGAAGAGCAACCAATGGGGGAAAGCTCTCAGTAGGTGGAAACCAAAGGGCCTAAGGGAAAGTCCTAACAGCCCAATTCCTCAGAGAAGGAGGTGTCCCCAGTGCAGGCCCGCCCACCCACCCAGAGCATCTAGGGGCTCAGTCCAGCCTCTCACCCTGCCCTGGGGGAAGGGGAGGAGCCTCAGGCCCTCACTGGAGCAGGGTTAGGCCCAGCCAGGAGTATAGGAAGGAGCTACATGGGGATGGGGCCTGGAAAGGCAGAGGGAATCTGGGAAGGTGAGATGGGGGTTGTCAAGTCTGCAAAAGACTGACACCAAGGCTAAGTCACAGGCACGTTTATTATCGTCTGGAACATCAAGGCCTTTCCTTCCCTGGCAGGGGCACAGGGAGGGCCAACTCTCAGGAGGCAGCCACGCTGCCACCAGCAGCAGGCCCGTGGGGTGGCAGGGTCATGGGCGGCAGGAACAGCGCCTTCAGCTTGCCTGACAGGCTGGCGATCTCAGGATCCTGGGCTTCGTAGGACTTGACCAAGCGAGCAAATTTAAGGACACCTGCAAGAGGGAGTGGAGGGTCAATGCTTCTTCCAAGGACCAGCTGCGTAAGACAGCTGGAGGGGGTGGTAGTTTAAGCACGAACTGCTTCCCCACTGGCTGGGCAGCTGTTTGCAAAACAGGACGCATGCAGGCCTCTGTCCTATGTGGTTTGGATCAACTTCTTGGTCTACACTGGGCACAACTAGATGGGGTGCAGTGAATGAAAATATCCCAAGGCAGTGTGCTTCTTGCTCTCAGGTGAACCCTTTTAGCAGTTTAGTCACTGGAACCCCATGAATGAACACCAGACCCCAGGTCTGTAGCTGGAACGCAGGAAGGCTATGGGGCAGCAGAGCTGAATCAGTCAGCACCTTTGGGGAACACCAGGATCTCACCAAAAATTTAACCACCAACCCCCAAACAGAAACTAGCTGCAACACCCTGGAGAGACTGCAGCCACTGCTGTGATGCAGACATCTCACTAAAAGATGGCACAACAGCGCTGACGTCCAGCTCTGCTACTACTAAAAGTCTGCACCATTAGCGTTTGCTCCCTCATCACAAAATGGAATAATAATGTGATTCACAGTACAGGTTGACCATCCTTAATTAGAAAACCCAAAATCTGAAATTATTTGAGTGCCAGTGTGAAGCCAAAAATGGAAAATTCCACACCTGACTTCATGGTGGGGGGTGGGGGTGGGGGGACTGTAGTCAAAACGCAGTCAAAACTTTGTCTCATGCACAAGATTATTCAGACTATTACATAAAATTACTTTCAGGCTATGTGGTTAAGCTGTATGTATACGAAACAAAACAATTTCGTGTTCAGATTTGAGTCCCATCCCCCAAGATATCCATGTATACGTAAATATTCCGAAATCTGAAAAAATCCGAAACACTTCTGGTCCCAAGTATTTCGGATAAGGGATACGGAACCTCTCCTGTACAAAATGCAACTCGGAGGCACAAGCTCAGGGTAGACCCTGAGCTCTGAGTGCCAACACTGTCGCCGTGTGGCGAGAAAGGGGACAACCGCTCAGGGCCCCATAGATCCGGCGCCCTCTCCCGACCCAACCCCCGCCTTCCCGCGTCTGACCCACCTTCTCCGTCGCAGCTGAAGCCATAGGCTTTGATAACCTCCTGCTGGATCTGCGTGGCCACGGGCAGCACGAATTGCAGCATCTTACCCATGTCGTTGCACGCGTTATCCCGAGCCTCGTCCATGCGCACTGCATTCTCAGGGGCGGAGAACGCCTGGATCACCTCCGCCAGGACCACTGCGCGTCAGAGGCATCCCAGGGAGGCGTCGGAGAACGGAGAGCGGGCCCAGTGGAGAGCGCAGGGAATTAATGGATTGAGGCTATAGGTAACCCAATAAGATCCCGAGTCTTGGGGGCAAGCGCCCCACTTAGAACGACGAGACCCGGCGTCCCCTACCCTGTTTTCCCGGCGGACGAAGTCAGGTTTGTCGCCCCACATCCTCCGCCCGCATCCTCCCCGGACCGGCAACCCATGCCTTCACTACGATTATTCTCACCCTTTGCCTGCTCAGCGCTCAGGGCCGCGGGTTGGGCCGCTGCGGACGCCATACGGCGTCTGAAGCTGCAAGTGCAGCGGAGATAAATGGAAAGCTCAGGAAGAAAGAGCCACGTCCTACTAACAGTTCCCAAGACCAGTGGGAGCGGAAAGGAAGCAGCATCCGGTGTAGCCGGAAGCCCCCAGGCGTGGTCCGAACCTTCGTATCCAAAGCGTCTAACATCGCTTGCACCGAGAAAACTATTTACTAAAAAAACCTTCCAGAAATCGTGCGCGCTAAACACATTCTATTGTTACGAACAAGCTATGTGAAAGGGGCTTTCCGGCAAATACCGGAAAGCCTGCTAGACAAATTCTAAAAGAGCTGTAACACTGCCGCGCATGTGTCTAGAGAGAAGAAGGGATATGCATGAACTCCACAATTGCTGAGGGTGAACTCAGGTGGCTTTTTTTTCTTGTTCCTATTACTGTATAAACAACGATGCATGTTGTAACTTTCAGTAGGAAAAAGAATATTCTAAGGAACTTAAGTCATTTTCTAGAGTTCGCGAACATTTGCTCTCAGCCTATGCAAATGAGTTCGATGCTGATTGGTTGAGATACCAGCCAGTCACAGCCCGTTCGTTGTTGTTAAGCCCAGAGACCTGGATTCGGCAGTAAAAGCCCAGAGCAAAAGCCATTCTCGCACTTTCCTAAAATGGCCTTGTCTACTGATGGGCGACGGAGAATAACGCCCGGCCTGATTTCCCTTCCCTTCCAGGCTTTTGAGATTATCAACCACTCCCTTCTCAAACTGTAGGGTGGTTAAGGATGCCAGGTACTAATCGCCTGGATCTATTAAAACTAGCCCACCCCATCCGCGCTTCATAACTGGTTTTGTTTTTTGTTTTTGAGACGGAGTCTTGCTCTGTCGCCAAGCTGGAGTGCAGCTGGGGGGATCTTGGCTCACCACAACCACCACCTCCTGGGTTCAAGCGACTCTTCTGCCTCAGCCTCCCAAGTAGCTGGGACTACAGGCGCGCACCACCATGCCCAGCTAATTTTTTAGTAGACACAGGGTTTTGCCATGTTGGCAGGCTGGTCTCGAACTCCTGACCTCGTGATCCGCCCGCCTCGGCCTCCCGAAGTCCTGGGATTACCAGCGTGAGCCGCCGCGCCTGGCCTCATAACCGTTTCTTAAACTATTCCATGGAAAGGATTCAGGACTCTGAAGCCTTTGTTCCAGAGGACTCTGGTGGCTGCTAACAGTGAGACCCCTCTGAATAGATTCCAAGACCTGACCATGTCAGAGGTGGGCTTGTCCCAGGCCTCTAGTGTTTGGTTGGTTGGGGTTTCTTTTGTTTTGAGATAGGGCCTTGCTTTGTCATCCAGGCTAGAGTGCAGTGGTGCGATCATGACTCACTGCAGCCTCGACCCCCAAGTGATCCTCCCACCTCAGCCTCCTGAGTAGCTAGGACCACAAGTGCACCACAACGCCCAGCGGACTGTTTTTTAAGATGGGGTTTCTCTATGTTGCCCAAGCTGGTTTCCAACTCCTAGGCTCAAGCAATCCACCCGCCTCAGCCTCCCAACGTGCTGGGATTACAGGCATGAGCCACAGAGCCCAGGCCCAGGCCTCCAGTATTTTGACTTCCCAGCCTTGGGACAGGAGGGAGCACTAGCACCCCCGGTACCGCCTTGGGCTGAGTCAATGCTCCGGGCTCTTCAGGGATCCCCTCGCCAATTCTTCCCAGCCCCTACACCCAGTTCCTTAAGGACTGGTCTCTTCCCGCTTCCCTGCCAGAGCCTGGCTGCAGTTAAGTACCGCTGCACTGAGACCCAGCCTCACCCCCATATCCCGCAAAGAACAGTCACAGCCATGTTCCTGGGGAGTTGTGAGGATGTTTTTGTTTGGTTGGTTTTGGTTGGGATGTTTTTTAAGAGCGTCATATAGATATTTATATATATAAATTATTAATGTGGGGAAGGGGCAAGGGGCATACATTGCAAAGGGGGCGCGCACACAGGGATCAGGGAGGGGCAGGGGTGGCACACGATGCTACGCAAAACAGCCACATCTAACAGATGAAATAATCACACCAACGGGGCAGGGGAGGGGCGGCGGCCACGGGGCTTGGGCATGGGGGAGAAGAAAAGCAGGGGGGACAAGGAAGAGAGACCTGGTCCAAGATTCTGTGCGCTTTCTGTCCCCATCCTCGCCTCCTCCCCACCTCTGCACACCACACCAGACCTTGGCCTTCTGTCTGTCCCTCCCTCCCCCACTCTCTGTCCAGCTGCGGAGGCCCTGCAACTGAGCAGCACCCTCTTGGCTCTGGGTGGCAGGCCAAGGGTGGGGTGGGGGGAGGGTGGGGATGCTCCAAGGTCCAATGTAGGAGCCGTGGTGCTCTCTTGATCGCAGGTTCTACAGTGGCTTGTCGCTCTCCTTCTTCAGGTGACTAGGGAAGGGGCAGTGCATAGCAGAGAGGTAAGAGACTTGAGACCAACCCTGACCTTGCCCCCTTACCAAAGGGGTTGGGAGAGGAGGGGTTCCCTCCCCCAGGAGCACAGTGCCCAGCTGTTCCATGCCCACAGCCCCTCCCAGGCTCGCTGAGCCCATGTCCCCCTGGGGTACCTGTAATAGTCCTCCTGGGCAGGCAGCGGCACACTGTGCAGCGGGTGATGGGCATGCAGCCACTGCTGCTGTTCCAGCGCCAAGCGCTGCAGCTCAGCTGACTGTGCGTGCATGGCCTGCAGCTGATGAGCTGCTGACATTGGGGCAGAAAGGGAGGCCGGCAGGTCCCGGTAAGGGGCAGCTGTGAGCAGGAAGGGCAAGGGTCACATGACCAATGGATAACAAGCACCTGCTCTGGACCAGGGGATAGCCAGCTCCTTTACATACAGAGGTAATGAACTAAAAAGTTAGGTAACACAGCCAGTTCTGTAAGTTGCCAGTGGTAGAGTGGAATTGGGATTCAAACCTCTTAGGCTGACACTAAAACTTGTGCTTCTCTTGGGCAGAGGTTCAGCTCTCCTATTCCCATGCCCATGCCCAGCTCCTCTAGGCATCTCCTCATTCCTCCTCAAGCCCAACTAGGCCCATCCCCCCACCTAAATACCTCCTTTCTGCCCTTTTCTCATTACAGCTTGCCTACCCCAACTTCCATCCTTACCAAAGAGCTGGTGACGAAGAACTTCGTTCTCGTGCAGAGGGTGAGGAAGCAGGGGGTTAGGGAGAGTTCCAGCTGGGTAGGGGATCCGAGTAAGGTGAGACCCTGAGGCCAGGGGGTCGATGAGAGGGTGCACTGAGGCAGAGGCTGGAAAGCAGAGAAGAGGAAGGTGTCACCAGAAGGCAGGTTTAGAGAAAACCATGCATTTGGGTGAAGGGATCCAAGACTGGGAATTGAGTTGGACAAACACAAGACGCTCCAAAGTGGAACAAAGGCAGAATGGAAGAACTAGAGGTCTGTGGGGGGCGGGGGGGTGGACAGGCTGAGCCCTACTGGAGGAGGGACATATGGATGACAGAGGACAGGAAATTAGTCATCAGAAGGGTCTGAGGGGAAGGAGAGGGAGAGGTAGACTGCTTGAAGGAGGTGGAAGATAGAAGTTTAGGAAATAAGACAGGAAGAGGCCAGGTGCGGTGGCTCAAGCCTATAATCCCAGCACTTTGGGAGGCTGAGGCAGGCGGATCACCTGAGGTCAGGAGTTCAAGACCAGCCTGGCCAACATGGTGAAACCCTGTCTCTACTAAAAATACAAAAAAATTAGCCAGGCATGGTGGCACACGATCCCAGCTACTCAGGAGGCTGAGGCAGGAGAATTGCTTGAACCTGGGAGGTGGAGGTTGCAGTGAGCCTAAATTGCACCACTGCACTCCAGCCTGGGTGATAGAGTGAAACTTCGTCTCAAAAAAAAAAAAAAAAAAAAAAAAAAAAAAAGCAAGCGGGTGCAGTGGCTCACGCTTGTAATCCCAGCACTTTGGGAGGCCAAGGTGGGCGGATCACAAGGTCAAGAGATCGAGACTATCCTGGCCAACATGGTGAAACTCTGTCTCTATTAAAAATACAAAAATTAGCTGTATTTGGTGGCACACGCCTGTAGTCCCAGCAACTCAGGCAGGCAGTGCCTGCTGAGGCAGAAGAATCGTTTGAACCCGGGAGGCAGAGGTTGCAGTAAGCTGAGATCGCGCCACTGCACTCCAGCTTGGCGACAGGGCGAGACTCCGTCTCAAAAACAAAATGGTGAAAGGATAGTAAGTAAAGCTCATTATTGCCTATGACACCCAAACCCAAAGCTACAGGGCCCCTTCTAGGAAGTTACAGATCTAGAGATGGGGAAGAACATGAAAGACCTCCCACTGTGAGAAAAGGAGAAAATGGCAAAAAATAAGAGTTGAATCCAGAGAAATCAGAAAATAGGTTTGCGGACTGGGCACGGTGGCTCACGTCTGTAATCTCAGGACTTTGGGAGGCCAAGGTGGGTGGATTGCTTTGAACTCAGGAATTTGAGACCAGCCTGGCCAATATGACAAAACCCCATCTCTACCAAAACTACAAAAATTAGCCAGGTGTGGTGACACACGCCTATAATCCCAGCTACTCTGGAGACTGAGGTAGGAGGATCACTTGAGCCCAGGAAGTTGAGGCTGCAGTGAGCTGTGACTGCACCACTACACTCCAGGCTGGGTGGCAGAGCGAGACTATGTCTCAAAAAAATAAATAAGAAGATATGTTTGTGAAGGGCTTGGGAGAATGGGGCTGTGAGGATAGAAAGCTGTGTCCTTCAAAGGCTCCCACCTGGGCCTGTCATGGGTAGGATACTAGACTATGGAGAGGACTGGGGTGTGGGGAATACAGGCTCTGTGGCCAGGCAAGGCCATGAGGAGACAAGGCTGAGAGAACGTCAGGGAGGCAAAGTTGAGGGCAGCAATCTCAGGAAAAGTTCATGCCAGGCCAGGGGAGGAAAGTCTCAGCCAGAAGAACAAAAGAGCCCAGTCATGATGGGGGAAGGTGGCCCCAAAGGGCCAGGGAGAGGAAGGAGGGGGTCTCACCTGCATGGATAGCATCTTGCTGGTGCAGGTGCAGGTGCGAGTGGATGTGGGAGTGCTGGTGGTGATGGGGAGTCACATTGAGCATCTGCAGCCGGGCCAGCGGGTCATTGCCCAGGGCCGCCACCCTTTCTGCGTGCTGCCTCTCAGCTGCCAGCCGCTCAGCATAGGACATGTCAGGCCGCAGGGCTGGCCCAGCTGCCAGTGCTAGACGTTCTCGATCTAGGGGCCCCAGGCTCGGATGAAAGGGGAAAGGGTGCAGGCCAGGTGGGCCAGGCTGCAGAGCCAGGCCCCCATGTCGGGGAAAGGGATCCAAGCCCGGCCCAGGGACCCCATGTAGGGGTTCCAGCTCACTAGGCTTCACCTCGAAGCCAGGCTTGAGGCGGTCACGGAGGTCTCGTTCACGGGCTTCCCGTTCCCTCTCCCGGGCAGCAGGATCACTGCTGTACAGGGCCGGGACATTGTACCCCAGGAGCCCCGGGTCCACTGCCCCCAGGGGCACGTAGAATGGATGGTTGCGATTGCCAGGAGACATGACATGAGGCCGGGCATATTCACTGAGAGTGCGCAAGGCTGGAGTGTCAGGACCCAGGTAGGGGGGCACTGTAGCCACCGCACTGCCCGGTTCAAATGGAGGGCGATGGGGCACTGGGCCCAGAGATGGGCATTCCACCGGAGCACGGCCCTCCTGAGCCAACTTCTGTGGGGTACAGGGAAAAGTGGAGTCAAAGCGGCAGTTATGAGAAGAGGTGGCTGGTTTCAAGCTGCCCATTTGTTTCCACAGCTGAATGCCAAAATGCCTCACCTCACTGAAACTCTGCCCACCTGGAACTTAACTGCGACCCCCCCCCTCCCGAATATCTGCCCTTCTTGGGATCCACAGGTAGTCCCATCTGAGCAGGCCTTCTCCCAACCCAGGAATGCAGACTGCTGTCGCTGAAATCCTTTTCGGCTCCATTTCCTGGGCTGCAGTGGTACCTCCCCTCCGACAGGTGGCGACTTGATTCGCCCGCCCACCTAGCACAAGCCCCAGCCCCAGCCCCAGCCCCAGCCCCAAGCCCAGCCCCAGCCCCAGCCCCAGCCCCGCAGCGCGGCTAAGAGAGGAGGCAAAGAAGGCGGTGGCGCAGGCAGTGACGCACTTACCACGCTGCGTTCAAGCTCGCGCTCCTTCTCGCGCTCGCGCTCCTTCTCGCGTTCCCGCTCGCGCTCCCGCTCCTTTTCTTCGCGCGCGCGCTGCTCCGCCTCGCGCCGCACCTTCTCCACCAGGTCGGCCCGCTTCTTGGCCAGTTTGGAGCCCTCCAGTGGCACGAAGTACAGGTCGCTGCGCGCGCACGAGTTGAAGCCGCGATCCAGGTGTTTGTTGAACCTGCCAGGCGTGGAAGCAGCACGCGCTCAGCCGGTGCGAGATGCCGGATGGAGCCCGCGGAGCCGCGGCCCCGGCGACTGCTTGTAGCCCCCGCCTAAAAACCACCCCTGCAGGCTGAGCTGCTGCGGGCCTCACTGGCTGCTAGGCATGGACGGAGGAGAGGGGCGTGCTTTTCTAAAACACTACACCAGCGCAGGGCCCCTCCCTGCTACTCCCTCTCCGTCGCCGCCTTGTCGTCCCCCTTCCAGGCCCACCTCCGCCCCACCTGGCCGCTCACCTGGCAGACTGACTGGCATGGCTGGGCACATCTACCACCTTGGGAGGGGGCGAGGGGCTGCGGGCTGGCGGAACTGGGCTCTCGGGGGTCTCATACTCCTCAGCCGGCTCCTGCTTGATCTGCGTGGCGCTCAGGGGCGGCCCTGAGGCAGGGGCCGCGGGTGGTGGTGGCAGAGATGGCAGGCCTGAGGGCCCCGCAGGTGGCAGGGGCCCAGGTCCCACGGTGGGCGAGCCCGGCTTGAAGGTCCCTGGGCCTGCGGGTGGCGAGGTTCCTCTATAGCCCGGTGGGGTCCCCGTTCGGAAGTTGGGAGGAGACCCGGGCTTGTATCCGGGTGGGGTGGCTGCCTTGTAGGCCCCCGGGGACGGGGCTCTCTTTCCGTACGGTGGGGGCCCAGGTGGGGAGGCCGTTTTGTAGCCTGCTGGCGAGGAAGCCACGGTGGCAATGACCGTGGAAAGGGTAGCCGAAGAGGTGGTGACCGTAGGCACCGGTGGGAAAGGGTAGGGCGTCCCCTGAGGTCCCTGGGAGGGGGAAGGGTGTGAACATGGGAAGGACGCTTGAGAAGTGGAAGAGGAAGAGTTGGAAGAAGAAGAGACTGGAGGGCCATTGGGGCCTGCTTGGCTGTAGGACACCTGGCTGTGAGGTGGGGGCAGGTGTGTTGGCCCTGGTGGGTAGGGCCTCAGAGACCCCAGGGAGGGAGACATGGCATAAGGGTGTGCGTGGTGGGAGCTGCCGCCCTCCAGGGGGTGGGGAAATGCTCCAGGAGGGGGCCCAGAGCTTCCGTGATGCTGCTGCTGCTGCTGCTGCTGCTGTTGCTGGTGGTGATGGTGATGTGTTGAGGCTGGTGGGTGGGCAGTGGACTGGGCCCCAGTAGATGGCGGGAAGGGGCCTGGATGGGCATTGCTGTTGGCTAAGAGGCGGCCATAGGGAGGAGGTGGTGGGGGACCCTGGCTCCACACAGCCTGGGATGGGAGAGAAGGCTGAGTATACTTGGGGGGCTGATTGGAGACAGAGAGGCTTGTTGGGGGAGGGAAAGAGTGGGGGTAACTGGGCAATGCCTGGGAAGCTGGGTAGGGGGAGGCAGAGGAAGAGGAGGAAGAACTGGAAGAGGAGGCTGCTGCAGAGCTACTACTAGAGGATGAATAAGGAAACCTCATGGGGGGTGCTGGGGCAGAAGAGGAAGCAGGAGGCAGAGAGTGGGGTGAAGGAGCCAGAGTCGGGCCCTTCTCTGGGCCAGGAGGAAGTCCACCCATACCCTGCCCCATGGCATGGGGAGAGGGCAGATGCCCAGGTAGTGGTTGGGCCCCCAGGCCAGGGGGAGAGGCTGATGCATTGTTGAGGGGTCTCAGGGCAGGTGGGGGAGGCAGGTTCGGGGTCACATGGGGGAAGTTGGCTGGTGGTGGAGCAGAAGGTAGGTTCCCACCACCCACTGGAGTGTTAGGTGGCTTAGCTGGGGGAGCACCACTAGCCCCAGAGCTTGATACTGAAATGGGAGTAGTGGGTGGGGGGTGCTGCTTACCCCCATTAGGGCCCCCCACTGATGAGGCAGCCCCTCCCCCCTTGGGACCCACTGGGGGTCCAGACAAAACTCCTCCACCAGCGCCCCCAGGATAGAGCTGTGGGTGAGGGGGAGGGGCCCCAGGAGGAGCCTGGAACATTCGAGATGTGGGGGGCTCCATGGGAGCATGATATCCAGCGGGTGTCACAGAAGGATGGGGTTCAAAGCTAGCCTCTGGCTGTCGAGGGGTGCTGTCTGGCGGTGGAGGGGAAGGAGGAAAGAGTGGAGGTGGGTGGTAGGGGCGGGCTGGGCCCTGGGACAGGCCAGAAGATGAGTCGGAGTCATTCTCCACACTTCCAGGGCTGTAGATGCTGGGGGACGTGCTTCGGTTGTCCTGGTCAATATCCCTAGGGTCGCTGCTGCCATCATCATTAAGGCTCCGCCCATCCAAGCTATCCAGATCAGAGGGAGACTGTGGCCGAGGGAGTTCCTGCTGTAGAAAAGGGAAGCCTCATTTTTTCTCTTTTCCTTTCCTGCTTCCCTGAGATTTAGGGCCTGTCTTGCATAAAATCATTTCCCCTCACAGCACACTGTTGTACTGTGATGTGGTGAGTACCTCTTGCCATCTGGGGATTTCCCACTTTCCCCACATTCTTGGCTGCTCCTTAGCAGCCAGTCTTGTTTCCCTCCTATAAAACCCTATTCCTTCCTCAAGGATCCATCTCAAGCACCTTGTCTCTACCCACAGCTGACTCCAAATCCCTGTCTTCCACCATCTCATAACCACCACTTTAACCATCCTCCATCCCCCAAGCCCTTGGTTCTTAGACCACTTCTGGCCGGGCACAGAGGCTCACACCTGTAATCCCAGCACTTTGGGAGGCTGAAGCAGGAGGATCACTTGAGGCCAGGAGTTCCAAACCAGCCTGGCCAACATGGTGAAACCCTATCTCTACTAAAAGTACAAAAATTAGCCGGGCGTGGTGGCTCATGCCTATAATCCCAGCTACTCGGGAGGCTGAGGCACAACTGCTTCAACCCAGAAGACGGAGGTTGCAATGAGCTGAGATTGTGCCACTGTACTCCAGCCTGGGTGACAGAACGAAACTCTGTCTCAAAAACAAACCAAAAAAAACAATAAAAAAGAAAGACCACTTCTGCATTTTCCTTAAGATTTATTTGTTCCTCCCACTAAGACTTCTCACCCAGAGACTAGAATCCCCCAACTCTTCTGGTCCCCTTTGGCCCTGCCAGGTCATCTGGTGGTCTGTCAAAGTTCTAAGACTCTCTCTGGCATATTATAGACAGAACTGCTCTCATAAGCACTATGATCTGGCCTTTCTCTTATGTCCCAGGAGAGATCCAGCTAAGAATAGTGAGCATAAGGAAATCTGAGAAAAGAATGATCATAAGATGGGTCAGGATGGCGACAAGGGTCTCCCACCTCAGTTTTGGTCTTTTTTGGTGCATTGGTCTCCTCACTTTCACTCTCTGAGATCTCTTCACTCCGACCCTGCTTGTTGACCTTTGGGGTGGAGGCTTCCTCTACTCGGGCCTTCTGTTAGAGAGAAAGAAAATTCCTGTCTTTTCCCTACCTCCCAAGCTTCACCGTTAGCCTCTGCCAAACAGGAAGTTCCCCCGACAACACACACACCCCCTCAGCCCCAGTGCCTGGGCATCCTGTGGGAGGACCTGAGGACAGAATACCTTGGCTGTCTGCCTGGACTTCTCAGCTTTGCCATCACTGCTGGACGTGCTGACCCCTCCAGGGGAGGCCCGGCCCCTCGATCTCAGTTCTTCCCGGGGCCCAGGGGCCTCTTTCTTCCGTCCACTCCTCATTGACATCTGCAGGAGGAGGAAGGAGATAGGTAACACTGTTCTTTACACTGCAGCTAACTTTATGGTGCACATTATTTGTTCTTCTCTAGACCCTTCCTCCTAGCTTGCCTGCCCCGCCCCTCATCTTTCACATCTCTCATTTTAACTCACCGAGTCTTTATTCTGTCGTGTCTTCATTCTTCAGGCTGTGGAGACCCCATTCTCCTCTGCCTGGGCAGCTGAATACAGAAACTTCTCTGCTCCACCCCAAGTTCCCCACAGCTGTGGTCTGGGAAGCAGGATCTCCAAGTTTCCAGTATAGGCACCTGGAACTTTTGCAGGATCTGTTTTCAGTGAAACCTGTTAGAAGGAAACCATCAGAGTCTCCCACTGGGAGAACAGAGTCACAAAGGAATACTATTACGCTTGTCAGAGAACTGAGCAAGCGGCCCAACCCTAAGCCTTTAGGCCAAGAGGTACAGATACCACAAGACATTGCTGGCTTGCCCCATGGGCCACCTTAGCTATCTAAAAGGCAGGGAGATTCTGCTTAAAGTATAATCTCTTTCACCTCTGTAGAGGGCAGAAAATTCAGATGTACCTACAAGCTCCAATCCAGGAGATCACACAGTTTTACCCTTCATGATCCCTAAAGGATATTTGTGAACGCACACATTCCACGGAGCCTTGCAAAGGAACATAAAGAAATGGAGTGGGGCATGGTGGTTCACGCCTATAATCCCAGCCCTTTGGGAGGCCGAGGTGGATGGATCGCAAGGTCAGGAGTTCAAGACCAGCCTGGCCAACATGGTGAAACCCAGCCAGGCGTGGTGGCGCGTGCCTGTAATCCCAGCTACTCAGGAGGCTGAGGCAAGCAAATCACTTGAACCTGGGAAGCAGAGGTTGCAGTGAGCCGAGATCATGCCACTGCACTCCAGCCTGGGTGACAGAGTGAAACTCTGTCTCAAAAAAAAAAAATGACATTCAAGTATTAATTTATTGAGTACCTTCTTTATATCAAGCCCTTCACACACATGATTTCATTTAATATTTACAACCAACCCTGAATGGTAAGCATTATTACCTTCATTATATAGGTGAGGGAACTGAGGCTCAAAGATGGTGATTGTGACTAGCTCAACCTCACACAGTGAGGAACCAGTGACAGAGCCAGAATCAAACCCACGTCTGTGACTTCAAAGCCCATGCTCTTTCTTCTATACTTTGCTATATTCTCCTCAGAAGTTGGTGGGGAGAATTCTCAGAAGGCCTAGATCAGTCACAGAGATATGAAAAGAATCTTTTCTCACATCAGAGTAGGTAGAAGAAGAAGGTCCCATTCTATAATACAAAGGAACACAGCCCTACCAATCCCAAGACTAAACCTAGGTAGCCCCAAATTGTAGAACTTCACTTCTGAGAGCCTCATAAAGGACTCATTCTCTAGTACTTGAGCTCCCTAAGGCTAGAGGAAAAGTCCGGGTTTTCACATGAATGATTAAAGACTCAAAATATCCGTGAGCAAACAATACAGATTTACCAATTTTGAAGCCTGTCCTCCTACTTGGTACAGACAGGGTTACACAGCTCCTCAAGCCAGTCCATCCATATCTGTCTATCAGTAAGTAGGCAGGTATCTATCTTTATCCAAATCCCTATAGCCAGCTATATTCATTTGCACTTGTTCGTATTTCTTGCTAAGTGTCAAGTCCCTCCAAATTACTGATTGTAAGATCTTTTGAGAGCAAAAGTGGTATTTTCTTATTTTTTCTTGCTTTCCACTGATGTCGTATATATACGTGTGTGCACTTTTCTTGTGATTGACCTTTAAACCCACTAACTTCAGTAGGTCTTTATTCTTAAATTAAGTGCTGCTAGCTCCAGTGGGAATAGACTAAGCTTACCCGTCTATTCTATTCTGAGTTGGAGGCCTGCTAGGTAAACGGCATGTCCATATTCTGTAGTGTATTTTTCCCAAGGAACACAGTAATTCTCACTCAGCTCCATGGAACCATACTGATGCAGGCAGTAAGGGGTGAGTTTAACCTTTCCAGGAAACTTCACAATTTACTTAGAATCACAAAATTGCTGGGACAGAGCCTGTCTTCTGAACTTTCAACTGATGTTCTGCCCAGTAGACTATTTTTTTTTTTTTTTTTTTTTTTTGAGACAGAGTTTCACTCTTGTTGCCCAGGCTGGAATGGAGTGGCGTGATCTCACTCACTGCAACCTCCACCTCCTGGGTTCAAGCAGTTGTCCTGCCTCAGCCTCCTAAGTAGCTGGGATTACAGGCTGTGCCACCACACCCTGCTAATTTTTTTGTACTTTTAGTAGAGACAGGGTTTCACCATGTTGGTCAGAGTAGTCTCGAACTCCTGACCTCAGGTGATCTGTCTGCCTTGGCCTTCCAACGTGCTGAGATTACAGGTGTGAGCCACTGTGCCCGGCCAACTAGTTGTTTTTTTTTTTTTTTTAAGTAGATTTTCACTGTTCTTCCCCAGGCTGGAGTGCAATGGCATGATCTCAGCTCACTGCTACCTCCGCCTCCCAGATTCAAGCGATTCTCCTGCCTCAGCTTCCCAAGTAGCTGGGATTACAAGCGCCCACCACCATGCCTGGCTAATTTTTGTATTTTTAGTAGAGACAGGGTTTCACTATGTTGGCCAGGCTGGTCTCGAACTCCGGACCTCAGGTGATCCACCCGCCTCGGCCTCCTAAAGTGCTGGGATTACAGGCGTGAGCCACCGCGCCTGGCCTTTATTTATTTATTTATTTTTTCAACTACAGCTATTTTCCCACATTTTTTAGTTGTTGTGTAGACTGGTTTTAAAATACTATCAACCAAAAAAAAAAAAAGAAAAGAAAGAAAAAAAAAATCCAAAGAACAACACCCACCATAGCAAAAGAGGAATCTTAAACAAAAAGCACAACAAAGATGACTATTTGTGACTGGTGTATCTTTGCCAGCCCTCCTAGAGAAGGGTGTCCATCACCCTTCCCCATCACAGAACCTGTTCACCAAGTCAGTTAGGTTAGGGGATTCAAAAGGTCAGAGAAACACAGGAATGTACCTGAGGAACACAGCAATCATAGTATGCCCTTCTTTTTTAATCACCTGAAATCTGATAAAACTAGCAATGAGTAGCTTTGAAGGAGAAAAGCAGTCAGAAAAGAACAAGTAATCCTGGGGATAAGGAGTGGCAGCGGAGGGAAGGAGTTAGGGTTGGATTGTGTGTGTTTCTAGACCTGGGTCATGTTTTAGCACCAGCCTACACTCCTAGCAGACGATAATTGTAACTAATATTACAGAGCACCTACTCTGTATCTGGCCACACACTAAGCACATTCACCTTCGTTACCTTACTTTAAAAAGAAAATGATTAAGACCAGACTGGGTTGGGAGGAAAGTGAGAAATAGAAACAGAGCCCCTAAGTAAGACCAGGAAAAGAAATTAAGAGACATATGGGATGTCAGAAGGAATACAGTGGAGTCACAAGCTCCCTGGGAGGGGCTCACAGGCTAAATTTCAGGATCATTGGCCCAGCCCCCAACATCGTTCTGGACCTGCCAGACTAACCAGTCCAAAGTGACTCCTAGATAACAATGCAGCCCAGACCAGCGGATAACAATGCACCGGCCTAAGCCTTCTGAGAGTCCAGGACCTTCAGGGAGGCCTCAGAGATCATCTCATCTATGGCCCCTTCATCTGAACAATGAAGTCGGACACTCCAAGAGAAGTGACTTGCCCAAGGTCACAGAGGCACAGCCAGGTCTAGAGACATAGGTCTCCTGGCTCCTATTCTATAGTATTTCCCCTGCATGAGGCTGCTTCATGCAGCCCTCTGTCCTGGGCCACCCTCACCTGGGATGGGCCTGGGAGCCCAGCCATTTCTACAAGGTCAGGGAAGAAGGCCAAAGGTTAGTTGAGGGAAGGAGGAAAAGGGTAAGTTATTCAAGAAGGGAGGCTCAAAGAGGAATTCATGTTTTAGAAAATGAAAGAAAGTGCAAAGAAGCAAAAAAACAACTCTACAAAAAATAACATAATAAGGGAGGTAGAGGTCAGAACCAACTGCCAAAAGATGGTGAAATCTGAACAGGAGCATTTTCATCCTCCCATCATGCCTAGGTGGAGAGACTTGGAGAAACACCTATGATCTGCAAGGAACATATCTACCTGTTCAAACAGACTGCAACATGAAAGGGTACACGCCGCCGTGGGGAAACTCCCATCCACCAACAGATCCAGAAACATCCTCCAGAACCCAGCCCAGAGTCCCAAGGACATAGCCGCAGGCCGACGTCCAATGAAGATTCGAAGCCCCCCCGCCTACCAATTGGACATCCCACTGGATCACTACCATAGCGACACAGTGGCAAAAGGTGCCCCCAAGAGACCATCCCAGGAGTCCATCTGGAAGCCACCCCTGCCCCCTCCCAGTTGCCAAAGCAACTCCTACTCTCCTATAGCACCTCAGGGAAGGGAGCTTAAAGGTACCTACCCTAGTCGAAATAAGCCATGCACAAAGGGAGATCTTTGAGCTCAAAGCAGTAACTAAGGCCTCCCTATATAGATCACAGCTCCAGCGGCAGCGGACGCTCCGGAAATTGGAGGGTGGAGGGTGGAGGTCGCAACTTGCTTGGAGTGCCTGTAAGGTTGCTCAATTATCTCATTTCCATCCTCCCAGAACCCCTTTCTTCCCAACTCCCCCTTCTGTGTTCCTGTTTTCCTCCTCATTAGTTTTGGGATAACCCACACTACTGGGCCCCAGTGCCCTCTCCAAGAAGTAACTATGTCTGGGATGGGGAAAACAGGGTCAGAGGTGACCTGGAGTAGGGGAATGAAAACCGTCACAAAGACATGGCCTTCCCACTTCCACGCTGGAAAACCTCCGGCTCTTCTCAAAGATGGACCTCTTTTTGCCCAAGCCTCCGTTTCCCCGAGGTTCATCAGCCACAGTCCCTCTTTCCACCTACCACACCCCTTTCCCGTTTCCCACTTCCCGTCCATTCCTAACACCCCCAACCCCAGGCTCCGGAACCCGTGTTCTGGGCCTTTGGAGCTTTTTCCTGGAGCCTTCATGCCCCACCTCGCTGCCATCTCTCCTATCCCTTCTGCCTTCGCCCCGAACCCCACTCAGAGCATCCCCCGTTTTCCTCTGCCAACCCCCGCCTCGATGTTCCTCCTCTTTTGGGTCCGCGGGTCCCGGCTACCCTCTGGCCCCACAGCCTTCCTCCGGAGACCCTCCCTCCTTCCCCACCTTCCCGATCCTCCCGAAGCCCTGGCCCCCGACCCTCCTCGGCGGGCCCCACCCCCTGAGCCCCCGGCCTCAGGCCAGGCAAAGCCCGCAGTGGGGGAACGGGATTGGGAAAATAACAAATGGAGGCGGCGGCGGCAGGAGGGGGAACTGGGAG